AAAAAAATAACCCCAAAAAAAAAAAAAAAAAAAAAAAAAAAAAATTAGCTAGAAGTTAATGCACTCATTTTTGCAGTTAAATATCGAATTCTGCAACTTGATACTGAAAGTGAAAAGTTAAAAGCTCATCAACATTAAGCTAGGCCTATGTATTACAACATTTAAACATATTTTTTATTAAACTAAAAAAATATAATATAGGCCTATATAATGATGTTGAATATTTTTTTATTAAGCACGTCGAATTTCAAAAGCTTATTATAACAATTATTTTACTCTCATGTACTTGAAGAGGTTGAATTGACATTACAAATTGTTGAATTGTTTCACACAATTTAGGTTTAAAATACTGTATTTTCGTATACAATTTCGAATCAATATAAAAAAGCATATAACCAATTATTATCTGAAATATTATAATCCATTATTATGATATCAATGTTATTTTATCGCGATTCTTGGTTATTTTTTTTTTACATTTTCTGATTATATATTTAATTACTTTTATGTTCTATAAAGCTAGGCACTCACTGCGCTGACGGTCGTCGCCCGACGCGATTCTACGGAGAACGCAATGCCACGACGCGCGCACAACTGATTATTTTTAATGACGCTGCGTTTAGACTGTCACCGACAATTAGACAACGTCGTCGCGTCGTAAAACGCTCACAGGGAACGGAATTTGTTTTTTCGCCCGACGATCGTACGACCCAGTGAGTGCCCGGCTTTATTCTCTATGTGCAACGTATTTGACATGATATTTCTTAAATTTTTTTTTATATTATATATTGTAATCTATTTTTAATACCACTTATTTTTATTATTTTTTATTAACCCATATTTATCTAAATACTTACAATTTGTAAATAAGCCTACTTGTAAAAGTATCTTCTAAGTATTGTAATTTATCTCAGTTTTATTTTACTTTAATCTCTACATCAATTTGTTTTCTAACCATGGACCTATTAATTGTCTGTTTTGATGGTTATGCATTTTTATACTCTTCGAATTTTTTTAAAACGCGATTTGTAAATCCCAAGCAATTAAGTTTTTCTGTGATTTTCGGATGTTATTGAAATAAATACAAAAATTAAAATTATATTTTATCAGTTTGGTTTTACCGACTACAACAGCCCAAGAAGCACTATCAGGTACGTGTATCATGGATTGGTCTGTGACTAGTTTATCTCTTAAATATCATTCATTCATTACTTGTTTTATTGATAATGGTTGATTGATTCTCTCACGCACGGGACAACAAAATACATTTTTGTTTTATAGGAACCAGTAAAAACTGTAAGGATCAGTGTTATTAAGTTTTGGCCAATTTCAGCCTCAATTTTTTTTTTACTTTACAGACTTTTCAAAGACAACAAATTATTATTTTACAGTATATTCATTATATAGGCCTAAGTATTATATCATCCCTGATGATGACATAATTAATATCGAAATATTGAATCCAGACACGATGGCGTGTATTTCGATACTTGGAGTATGTATTATACTATCTTAAGTATATTATTGTACTATATTTATAGAGGGTATTAGGGCTACATAGTTAAAATATAATCTTTTTAAACATCAGCACTTTACTGTATATGACCAGCTTAGTTTTTTCGTTTTTTTTAAATAAATTTAATAAATTTGTAATAAAAACTTCGTTTGCCATTTTACCTCAGCTTGAATTTGCTCTTATTTTGTTCTTCATTTTAAAGAAATTTTATCCTTGGTGTACATAAGTTGGAGTCGACAAGAATTCTAAGACAGTATTTCAGGTCAATAAAACAGTATTTTATTAGATTTTATTAGTCAAATAAACATACCATTTTTATAACTAGAACTCCGCTTCTAATAAACATGTATTGTTAACAAATAACTGCTATTTTCGTTTTCAAAGCTGATGAAATTAATGAAATCGAGGCTTCACTGGGGCAAAACAAGCGGTAAGTTACCGTATACCTTGATTAGTGGATGAACAACATATTTTATTGATCTTGGTCGAAAAACTTTATAAACTTTTTTTGCAAGAAAGGCATTATACTTTTAATATTTAATACGTTTATTATGGATTTTAGCTCATGGTTACATTTCACAAGCCAAAACACATGAGATAAGTGACTGTTGCAAGCCTGCTCATGACTGACGCCGCACGCATGTCTTAGGACCTTTGCTACCATTTGACCTTACTTCTACCCATCCTGTTGTACTCCTACTTTTTAGATCCATGTGGTCGGCTTTCTCTCCAGAACCACAATCAATAATTAGGTCCAGATCTAGTGATACAGAAACTCGGCAAATTTCTCTTTTTTTTTGGTGGGGGGGGGGGGGGAATCATTCTGGCTGGGCCATTTATTTGTAGCTTTCTCTTCAGCATTTACATGAAATGTTATAATATTTTAATTAATCCACTTTCCCTACTGAATAATATGTTGACCTTCACTAGTGTCCAGTTCGTGACACTTTTCTACATTAAACATTAGAGTGCACATCCGGATCTCGATACCTCTTCAGTGGCCTACTTCATATCCACCATACGGGCTCTCTGTTGTTACAGTCACTGCTGGAATACTGACTGAGGCTCACCTATTTACGTCAAGTGTCCCTGAAGCCAAAATCATAATGTACAGTATCATGGTTTTGGCACAACCAACTGTAATTGAAGGGGGGGGGGGGAACCTGTACTCACACATTGTTTTCTGTATTTTTTACTTTTTTGTTTTCTTTTTTAGCGTTTTTGTTTAGTTTTTTAGGTAGTATTGCTATAATAATTAATGTTATTTTTATTATAAATATCATTATTTATATTTAACGTTTTTGTTATTATTTAACATTTTTGTTTTACTTTTAAGGAAGTATTATTATCGTTATTATTGTTGTTACCGGTAATCGTTAATTTATATGTTAGATTTTCTCCATTTATATATTTCAGCCAGCATCCACCCGGCTTCAGCCCTGTCGACCCGGATCTAGTTCCACCCATTCCAGGTCTGTGTCCAGAGAATGGATACGACAAGGTGTCAGCGGACTGTACGGGCAGTCAAAAATATCGTACTTTTGATGGCTCATGCAACAACCTTTTCCATGTAAATTGGGGTAAAGCTATTGGACCACTTGCAAGATTCCTGGATCCAGATTATGGTGATGGTGAGGAAAATAGAGAGGAAAATATCGAAATGCAAACATTATTGTAATAACTTGATATGATGGTGATTGTAGATGATGATGACGATGATGATGATGATAGTGCTAATGGTAACGAATTATCAATATAAGTATCATCATTCCCCTATTGTTAACCTTATCAGTCATTGGCGGATCTGAGAGGGGTCAGGGGTCCTGACCCCCCCCCCTGGAAAAAAATTCTTTGTGTGAAGGTACACACATAGGTCTGTTTACTCAATGAGAGTGAGAAAAAATTACCTGACCGTTTACAAAAGTAGAAAATCTTGAATTTGGATTAAAAGACACTTCAGAATTCGGGAAAATTTTTTTCCGGGGAGGACCCCGACCCCCGTTTTATTTGAGGTTCATCGATTTATTAAAAAAAGAATGTATGCAGCGATTCAATTTTTGTTATGTACATACACACATAGTAGGGCTACTAGTATTTACAGTAATAAGAATGAGAAGTTTATCTGACCGTTTTCGAGCGGAGGAAAACCTTAAAATTTAAAGAACTTAAAAGTCATTTAAAAACACCTCAGAAGTCGGAAAAGATCATTTCCTGCCATCTGTGATCAAATTTTTCCTGGGGAGGACCCTCACATAAATAGGCCTATTTACTGTAATAACCCCGGACCCCCCTTCCTCCTTGGGGTTATCCATTCATGGAAAAAAGAATACGTAACCAACTCAATTTTTTAAATGTACTTATACACACATAAATAGGCCTATTTACTGTAATAAAATGAGAAAGTTTACCTGAGAGTTTTTTTGGCGTTTTTATGACCCCCCTCCCTAAATGTGAACCTAGATCCGCCCCTGTAGTATCATGATTGCCTTTGTCGTAGTCGATGTCTCGCCGCCGCCGACGGCATAATAATAATAATTCTGGATTATCATCATCAGCATTATGTCTCTGACTAATAACTGTGTTTAATTTATCTATCGCCAGGTAAAAGTTCACCACGAAGAGCCAGTGACGGTTCAGAGCTTCCTAATCCGAGACTAATTTCGTCGACGGTTACAATTAAACAAAGCCCAGTTAGTGACTCGTTTACAGCGCTCGTGATGTCATTTGGACAATTTCTCGACCATGACTTTGCGCTGTCTCCTGAAAGTTGTAAGTATCCCAAAGCCCTCATCGTCAAAATAGAAATCACTTCTTATGTTTTGTTATGAACTTTCCATCTCAAGTTTTTGAAATCACAACTAAATCGCTACTTCGAAATCCGTAAGGAACCCGTTCGCTAAGCCATCCCCCCACCCCTGGGTTAATGTTGCTAAAAGTTTCAAAACGACAGCATAAACATACGTAAACACATCATGTGTTTGTGGGAAAACAGGTGTGTTCCGTGGGACGAGTGCGTATTCCTCGTTCTGTTCTGATTGTTTAGTTCAGTTTGAGTTACAGACCGGAGAGTTTCGTTATAAATGAGAGCTCACAATTTTAAGAGTAAATTTTGTTTAAAAATAATTCATAACTACATGCTTGTATTTTGAAATACTATTTGTTATTGTTCAGTGGTTGTCTGTCCTGACTGTGTTAAAATCGGCGAATGTGACCCGATCCCAATCTATGATGATTACTTCTTTTACGAAGAAACTGAATGCTTACATTTCACGAGATCTCGAAGAGTGAAACCTGCAAACTGTGCCGAGTTTCCTAAAGAACAGCAAAACATTGTTTCGTCATACATTGATTTGTCCATGGTTTACGGATCCACACAAGAAGCCGTGGACTCACTTAGAGACCTCAACTCTGGTAATTCTTGTACACTAGTTCTATTTCTTTTCTTTAAAATATTTTCATAAATTATTAATGTTTTTATCCTCCCTCCCTAACAAACAAACAAACATACACACACACACCCACTTTCTTTCTAAAGAAATAAAAATAAACATCTGTATCATGTGTGTGTCTATAAATATAGCATTAGAAACATGGAGAGCACATATTATAGGCCTAGTCAATGAGTCTTGTGTTCCTGCAAAAGTTTGCTTTTTTGGTCCATATAATTCTGAAAATTGAAACTGGCTGATGATCCCATAAGGGAGAAAAATAAATCTAATGTAGGCCTACACAGATTGCTTTGGCAAAAATTAAAGATTTACGGTTGGAATAGTGAGCAATAATATGGAATCAGTAATGTATACCGGTAGTATATTATTACTGTGTTGTGCATGTATTTTACATACAGATTTAGGACTCCTGCGCAGTGTTCCAAATCCACTTTACCCGACGAGGAAAGAATATCTACCGTTTGATGACAACAACACGATGTGTGCCGAGGATGGAGACATCAAGTGTGGATTGGCTGGAGACTTCCGAGCCCCGGAACAGGTCGGTCTGACGTCCTTGCACACTATGTTCCTCCGAGAGCACAACAGAGTGGCGCGAGAATTAGCATCCATCAATCCTCATTGGGATGGTGAGCGTCTATATCAAGAAACAAGACGTATCTTAATTGCCATGTGGCAAAACATTGTCTTTAAAGAATATATACATCTGCTGATTGGCACGGTAAGGGCAAACGCTTACGACTTGTTCCCGCGTTCACAGGGGCGTATGCGCAATCACTATGACCCTACTAATGACGTCACAATACTGAATGAGTTCTCAACAGCTTGCTTCCGTATGGGTCATAGCATGATCCCCCCTTCTTTCACCCGCTTAGACAAATTTTACAATGTAGCATTCGATACTCTTGAACTAAATTTCGCCTTCTTCAATGCTACGCATATGTTCGATTTTGATCAAGGTGGAATGGATTCTATATCTCTTGGATTGACGGCTTCACCTCTTATGAGAGTTGATCATTTCTTTTCCACGAAGATAACAAATCAATTGTTTGCCGACCCAGCAGAAGGGTAAGTAAACCCCTGCCCAGACTATCAAATTGTATTTGACAAAAAAAATATGACATGTCTAAATATGGTCATGATGACATCACATCATGACCATCATACCTAAGCACATCATGACTATGTACGTACATACAACCGGGTTTTTTTTGTTTTTTTTGTGTCAAAGAATGTTCTTATAGGTATAGATATTATTGTCATTTACAATAACTCCTTGTTTTTACACTTACCAATTAATACATCTACCCCGTGTGAACCATGCGTCAACCAGTGGTGGGACCAGGATTAGCCCGACTGGGGGAGGTGGGTGGGGAGATGTCCCCGACGAAAAAAGTGGGCGTGGTCGGGCGTGGCTTAATATCTCTCGAAAGTGTTCCAGGGGCGAATACCCCAGAAAATATGACAATTTAGGGGTTTCAAAGGCTAATTTAATAGATTTTGGAATCAAAAATACATAGGAATTTTGTTCTCCCCTGCGAATTGTGGTTTTTCTCCACGACGGGGGTGGGGGTGTGGTTGGGTGCGGCGTCTCCCCTCTAAATTGCACAATGTGATTTCACATTACACAATGAAATTAAATGAGATTATTAATTACAAAAATAAAAATTGAGCTAAGCCCAGAATAAACTCATTATCATCATCATATCATCATCATCATCATTGTCATCATCATTGTCATCATCACCATCATTTGTATTTATCATGATTATCGTATCTTAATACAGACCTGGCAGTGACTTGGTTGCAATAAATATTCAACGAGGTAGGGATCACGGGATACCAGGCTATACCGCTGTTCTCAAAAAATGTTCTACCGTAGAAATTGAAAGCTTTGATGATCTTCAGCCTTTCATGTCAGATGACGTCATTGGGAAGTTTAAAGATTTATATAAGTAAGTGTTTAGTTTTTGTTATCAAATGTTGCCAATAGGAAGTTTGAAATGCCGTTATATGCATGTAATAGCCTACTAAATGTATAATGTTATAGTCATAATAATGCTATCGAACGTAAAAGATCGTTCGATAGTATCAAGAAAAAATAATTTAAGGTCTGAGAGTGCCATTCGGGCCATCTAGAGGTTCTATAATCATAAAAATGTTCTTACCTTAGCCCAAACCATAGGGAAAGTCTCTTCCCTGGCCCTCTATTTCAAATTCCACTGAAAACCATTTCATATTGCATCTTCAGAATCGATTAAATAAGACCTCAAATAATTAAAAATGTCTGAGCTCGGCCTTCTCGAGATCAGCACGGCTCTGTCGCTTAGGCTGCCTCAGCCATTTCGGTTCACTCTTCACAAATTCGCACTCACCCTATAAAAATCTTGCGCACGGGCCTGATTAGGATGATTATGATGATGATGATGATGAGTATGTTATTGATGATGATGAGGATAGGGATGAGGATGATAATGAAGAAGATGATGATAATCATGATTGTCGCAGTCACATTAACAGATACGTAATCCGGTTACTATTTTTCTTCGTACGGTTTCTTGATAATTGTTGTAGTAAAACAGCCTACAAGTAGAATGCTTAGATGTAGGCCTAAGTTTAATTAGCAGGCGGCTTTCATGTGCGTAGGCTGGTTTCGGCATGAGGGAGGGGGTGCGAAAAATTCCAATGCAAAAGTTTAATGTAATTTTTAGTATGTCAACTCACTTAGTCCGCACCTCCCTCACTCCCCAGCCTACGCCAATGGTAATCGACAGCTCTCTGTAAACTTAACAGCTGAAACATTTCTGTTTTATTTCTCCACAGTGAACCGACCGAGGCTCCAGACGACAATAACTTCGGCCAGTTCCCATACTTTCCTCCTAGGCCTAAACCAACTGTTATTAATAAACGAGTTCAGTGTTCCAATACTTTTAAAATACCTATCGTTAACCTGAACAAATGGAAGGAAAACTAAAATTTCATAGGTAACAATAATATCCCGAATATCTTTTTTTTAGCTTTTCTCAAAACCTATTTGTGACGTGTGCTTGTGTGTATTCAGTTGGGCATACGTACCTCATTAATTTGACCCACATTTGACTAAACTTAATTCAAAATAAACTAGTTACGTTATCTAATTCCTTAAAAGTTTAAAATTTATGTGTTCCTCTGATTTTGAATTAAGGCGTTTTGCATGTCACAGTGTCACTGCTCCTCCTAATCACAACAATCACACAATCACAAATCAATTTATTCAATCCACATAATATACTAATATAATCATAATGTTACAAATAAGTATATAAAAGAAAATTGAAATTGTAGGATCTGGGAGAATCTCATTAAGACCAGAGGTCGCAAACATTAGAGCCACCGAATAAATTAAATAATTAGTCAACATTTGAAAAGAAAAGAAGGATTATGCAGTATGAACATGTATAAACAAACACATATACATATATGTATGTAAATCACATATAAAAGAACAATATGTTATAAAATCGTATCAAACATAGTTCATCAACAAAAGTTTCTAATGATAGTTGTATAAAGAAGAAGAGGAAAAAAGGTTTCTGGTGGGAATCGAACCCCGCCATCTCGACGAGCGTCATACAGTTTAGACCATAGATGCCCGTACACAATGTAATTACGGATCTAAGACCACCAGTCTTCTTCCTATTTATACAAGAGGGCTCACAAATAGTGGAACCAATTTTGAAAGCTAAATAACAGCTTGCACGTAGCAGCTGGTGAATCATGTAAATAATATTAAAATCAAAGCACTGGGAACACAAATAATGTATATATCAAACAGGTTAAAAACAGTGCTCAAATATAAATATGGAACTTGATGTTGTGAAATCGTATCAAACATATTTTGTCAACGAAGTTCCTTATTAGAGTTGTAGTGAAAAAGAAAAAAAAAAAAGCAGGTCGTGGGTGAGAAACGAATTCACAATTTCTCGAAATCTCGGCCAACGTCATACCATGTAGAACACGAGGCCCCTACGATATATCATTACGGATCTAAGAGCACAAGTCTCTTTCCTTTCATACAACTAGAGGGCTCACATATAGTGGAGCAATACATATATACATACACGCATACACATACACATAAAATCACAAACGATTGCATACATTGACAAAATAGAGACATAATTTCTCAATACGTCAACGTATGCATACTTTGACATAATAGAGACATAATGTCTCTATTTGCCATTAACACTGTTGAATTATATAGAAATCATCAAAGAAAGGTAAATACAGTGTTAGAATAAAGGATATAATAATGGAGTGTATCTGGCGGTATTTGAATCCGTTCAACCATGAAGCCTCTGTGGTCTAATGGTTATGACGCTCGCCTTGACAGCGAGAAATCGCAGGTTCGAATCCAGTCGTATTTTATTACACAATACTTTATTCATTCATTTATAGGACTACATTCGTTAAGAGTGCTACACGATGTATTATTATATTGATTGATGATTTA